GGCGCCAGCACGCCCGCCGAGAAGGTGGCGAGCGCAGCCAGTGAGACCACCGGCGCGGGCCGCGCGGCCCCCTCGGCCAGCGTGCCGGTCGCGAGCAAAGGGCCGAGGGCGGGCGCTGCGCCCCTGAAACACATGAACCCACCCACTTTTTCGCTCCGCCACCAGGCAACACCGAGTGCGAGTAGTTGCTGTAACTTGTATCCGCTTTCAGTCGAGCTGGTTCGTTTCCTTTCGAATTCAGTTTGGTCTCTTGACTCATGCTTACAGCGCGATCACAGGTAGTCCCGCCAGTCCAGGACCTCCTCTGCCTTCGCGCTCAGCCCCTGCTTCAGGCACTCGCCGGCCACAGCCGAGAACGTCACCCCCTCGATGAACACGTCACCGCGGCCGCCGCCCTCCTCGTCGTCGGACAGCCCCGACTGCATGGCTGAGTCAGCCATCGCCTCCAGCAGCTCCAGCGCGCGGTCCAGGCGGCCGCTGGTGGCGCAGGTCCTCACGACCTGCAGGTGATGGGGGGTAGGGCGACCGTGAGGTTTGTGTTTAGGGCTCCACCCTACCTACTGTCTATGGCTGCAGCCGGGAAGAGGCGTCGGGAGGTGGAGCGGTCGTGAGAGTTGGGTGGCAGGCGGGGGGCCGTGGCGTGCGGAGGCGGCGGGGGCGCTCTCGCGGCGGCTGAGCAGGCGCGGCGGCCCCGGGTGGAGGAGGGTGAGAGGCCCAGCAGCTGCCCACCAGGTTCCGCACGGTCGACGGCACGCCGCGGCCCGTCTGTTCCATCACCTGCGAAGGGAAGGCGATGTGGGTGAGGCTGCAGCCCCGCACAGGGAATCCGAAATTGTGCCGCCAGTGCAAAGGGGAAGCGCAGTTGTCGCTGTTTCCATTTTCAGGCCCGCTCTTCCCTGTTGCAATGCAAGTGAAGCAGGCATTCTGAGCTCTCCCTGGCAGCACAAGCATTGCCCCAGACGACCCATCATCACCCACCTCCAGCAGCTGCAGCGACCGGTCCGCCTGCTGCCCCTCTGCTAGCGCCCTGAACACCGCGACCGACGTGTCGTGCTGGGCGTGCTGCCCGTCGGCCGTCATGGACTCGAGCATGTCGACGGCCCGCTGCCACTGGCCGCCTGCAGGGCGGGGGCGCGTGAATCCGGGTGTGCACAAACAGAGGGCCGCATCGTGCCGTGGGTGGTGCCTTTCCATGGGTGGCTGCGACCTGTGGTTGCCACGCTCTGCTCCACAGCACTGGACTGAGATTATCAGGCCAACGTCTATTCCCACCATCCGTTGCCATCATTGTTGTTATCCAATCGCTCATGCAGCATGCGCCGTGCGGTACCCAGCTCACCTGCCGCAAACGTGCGAATACCCGCCTCCAAGGCGGCTGCCGGGAGCTCCAGCTTCAGCACACGAGCCTCTGTTACCACTTCCATGCACCGCATGATGTCACCATCGCGCTCCGCTGCCAGTAACGACGCCGCAAATGTGTCTGCGATGCAGGGACCGGCAAATCAACACGCCGCGTGCGCGCTCGCAGCGGCGGTCCATCACACACTTACCTGTGGATGAGCGGCAGCGCATGATCCGACTTTTTATGTGTGTACACACGCGCGATGCGCCAATGGGCCCCGAAGGGTATGAGAGGTGGCTGCTTGCAAGCATCGCGAAGGTCCTGGCGAGGCTTTGTCAGTTTGAGGCAGAGCTGAGTGGTCAATTATGATACGCGTGAAAATTCTATTTCATAGGTACCATTAACTTCATGCCGATGGGTGCATTCTACCGGAAGTTACTCTGGAGTGACTAGGTTTGAACCACCGTGCATCGTGCTTAGTTCTGGTGATGGGTGAATTGAACAAACACGCAAGCTATCAAGAATCTCGTGAGTGCGCTTCATATGCTCGTACCCCATTCTTGATCGATCCGCGCCAGATCACAGTTTGGCACCTCGCCGACCCTGCCATGGGTGACATTTAGATGCCCTGACAATTGATAATCTTGGTAGTTGTCGTGACGCTGGCTGAAGACCTCTGAACGCCCTTGCAAACATGACGACCACCTCGACAAACAAAATAAAGCTGCCTGTTGCAGCAGAAGAGGTGGGCAGGGCCGCATGCAAGATTTATGCGACCACTTGAGGGTGCACGTTGGAGTGGGGAGGGCTGCTGCTGCTGCTGCTGCTGCTGCTGCTGCTGCTGTGCGCGAGGATGGCGCCAAATTCATGCTGCTGTGTGTCCTCGCGGCGCAGCTCGAGTTTTTCGCAGAGGAGGAGCCCATCACCATCATTCCCAGCTTTCAGCTGCGGCACAGCGCCAACGGCATGCTCAGCTGCGTCGGGGTGCGTGTCGGCCTATCCAACCCTGCTGCACCAGTACCGAGCTCTTAGTGGGACGTGCAACGCTTCCTGGGCGGCGCAGCGGTTGGCTTGCCTGTCCTGCAGCGTTGCTAGTAGACGTGCTGCGCAACGGCTGCACCTTGGAAATCGTCCCGCCCGTTTCACCGCGCACAGGGTGATTATGGCCCGTTCCGCCCCAACATGCCGGTGGAGGTGCCAATCTGGCTGGCGCTCCAGCTGCACAAGCGCGGCAAGTGCCGCATCATCCCGCCGCAGTTCCTCGACATCCCGCGGCTGCAAGGTGGGTATTCCGCACCCGCCAACACGCCTGACGAACGAGCTGCGCGTTGTATCCTTCGCGTATGGGGAGCGCTGCCATGTGATTGGCGGCCGCGCCTACAGCCCCAGGCGCCCACACACTTTTCCCCCGGCACTCGCAGCATTGATAACGGCGGAGCAGTCGGACCTCGACTCGTTCCAGCCAGTGCCTTTCTATTTCATGGAGGTGTGCTGCCTGCTGTTTGAGTCTGCCAAGGATGCATTCGGAGACAGCTTCTTCCAGGTGCGCGCGGCCTGCCTCGGGGGCGTGGTCACAGAGGCGGGTGGGATGCTTGAGGGGTTGGTCACGTCCACAGCGGCGACCTGTGAGCTTTGGGTCACAAGTCGAGACCGGCACGCTGGGGATGGCTGCTACGCAGCTGCATGGCAGCCCGTACTCATGAATGTGAGGGCCACGAAAGTATCACACCCTGGATCGAACGGGCGGGCTGCCGGCGGTCATCCTGCCGCGCGCGGCCCGCATCATGGCTGCGAGGCGACCTCGATCCTCCTCTCTCTGGCACGAGCCATGACGACGCTGTCAACCCCTCTGACGCTCTGCTCTCTCCCCCCATCACCCCAAACCAGGTGCGGGACCTGCTGCAGCAGTTTGTCAACATCCGGCGACACAAGATCGAGGACGGCCTGCGAATGGTGGCGCAGGCGTCGACCATTCGACTGGCCAACCTGTCTGCGTACGAGGCCAACCTGATCCGCCTCAACCTGCAGGGCAGCCTCAATATGTTCCTCAAGTTCTCAAAGGTGCGGGGAAGGGTGGGCGCACGTGCGAGTGTGAGTGTGAGTGGGTATCGATTTCTGGGTGAGGGTTGTGGTGTGCGTGCGTGTGTGTGCGTGTGTGTGTGTATGTGCGCGCGCGTGTGTATGTGTGTGTGTGTGTGTGTGTGTGTGTGCGCGCACACACGCACGCACGCACGCACGCACGAACGCGTGCGCATGCACATGCATGCATGTGGGTTATGGTGGGGGGTTGGCTTGAGCAAAACAGCCGCGCGTTGGCACCCCCCTCCCCCCCGGCCCTCCATGCCGCGCAGGTGGAGCTGATGCTGGAGAACCGGGCTGCCGCGATGACTCAACCCACACCGGGCTTCTGACCTATTCATGGTTGCCTTGACCTTCTAGCTAGCTTGACGCGCGCACAACAGCCCGCACCCGTGCCTGCCTGCGCCCTTTGTGTTGGCGGGCCCCGTGGGTTGTTGCGCAGTGTACATGACTTTACACCCATTACGAGTAGCAACAGAGGCTGCTGCATAGCAGTGTAAATGCAAAGTACAAAGGCACCTTCATATGCCTTGTTGTGATGTGACAAATTCACTTCTGACACACCTGGTCACCAAACCGGAATCACAAAAGGCAGGTTACAGGAGCACGCACGGGCGGTGCTCAGCGCAAGGCGGATCTCACACACGTGCACGCCCCGTCCTGCCACCAACACTCTACTCCAGTGGATTCTCCAAAATGCTGCACAGAATGAGCGCGAACAGGAACCCTGAGATCCCACAAAAAACACAAAGCGTTCCCCTGCAAACCCTAAAGCTGCCGTCCGAGCTGTTTTGCTGCGATATCTGCCAGGCGCCTCTTCTTCAGAGGCTTGGCCGCCGCTGGCTGCTGCTGCTGCTGCTGCTGCTGGTGCTGCTCATTGTGATCCTGCTGCTCTATGCGTTCCGTAGTGCCCTCCGCCTGCTGGTCCTGCCCTACGGCCAGCCGACCCGCGGCCACCTGAGGCAGGCTAGGCGCCACAACCAGGGGCGGCGGGGGCGCTGTGTCAGCCGCTGCGGGCCCAGACTGTTTCTGGGGGCTGAGCTTGACGGGGTGCAGGGAATGCGCCTGCGGCTGCCCGCTCTCTGAGGTGGACGGCAGACTGCGCGCAGCGGCCGTCGCCACCACGGGGCCGTCGTCAAGCAGGGGTGGAGACGTCAGCTCTGCGACCTGCGGGTGCGCCTGGCCAGGTCCCTGGGGTGCCACCACCTCCGCCGCC